GAATATGTTCTCCAGCATGCCCTCCAGGTTCGGGCCATGTCCAGCCTGGGCCATCTGCCGTGCTCGGTCGATCAGGCGAAGGTGAAGCGTCGGCTCGAGGTTCAGCAGCTCATCGGCAGTGATGGTACGCGGGGGACTTTGCTGAGTGCCACCTGCAAGACTTGCGGAATTGCGGGAAAAGAAGTTCATTGTTTTCACTTTTGCTTTTGCTTTGAGAAGGCTTGAAAAGATATAAAAGTTGTTTTTGATTTGGTGTGGTGAACTAACTAGTCTAGAAAAATTGTTTATATATAACTCAAACAGAAAAAGTTTGCTGTGTGTAATAAAAATGAAAAAAATAAATGTGGTTCTTGCGTCCTGTTGATTGCGGCAATTTATGAAATATGGCAATCTTATAAACTTGTTTGAAACTAGTTGCAAAAATGGTAGAATTAGTCATAACATTGATAGTTTTCAATAAGCACACTTTGTTCTAACTATTTTATTATGAAATTAACACTAGTGACTAATTCGCTAGTTTTAATCAGTTTTGTCTAAAAGTGATAACTTGAAAAAATTGCATGGGAAAAGAAGATAACTGGCTTGCTCATTAAAGAACATTTGGTGGTAAATGATTAGATGCTTTTACAACGTAGATGCTTCATTTTCTAATTAATTACTTGCTTGATAAAAATCGGTTACTCATCAAACGCTATCATAGACTGAAATATTGCAAAAACTTTCAATGTTCATTTAGTGGTAGTAGTCAAAAATGTATTTAGTAGCAAATTTCTGATCCACTGACGTTAGTTTTTATATTTACTAGACGCTTACAGTGAATGTAAGTTAAATCAAACATTGTTTTTTGTATTAGATTACTAACTAATCATACAACAATTGCCTTTATACGCAAAAAGAGAAAAATGTCACGCCGCAATTTTGANGTTAAATAATTGTTTTTTGTATTATTAGATTAACTAATAATTGCCATTATATACAACAATTGCCATTATATACAACAATTGCCATTATACGCAGAAAGGAAAAACAATGTCACGCCGCNACATTGTTTTTTGTATTAGATTACTAACTAATCATACAACAATTGCCTTTATACGCAAAAAGAGAAAAATGTCACGCCGCAATTTTGAAAACATTGTCGGGAGCTACGAAGGCGACACTAAAGAGGCACTGGAGGCGAGCGGAACTGAAGAACGAGTCAGGCGCATTAGAGCCGCCTCAACTAAAGTTCGCAACAGAATGGAGGAAANCACTTTGAAGACATTGTCGGGAGCTACGAAGGCGACACTAAAGAGGCACTGGAGGCGAGCGGAACTGAAGAACGAGTCAGGCGCATTAGAGCCGCATCAACTAAAGTTCGCAACAGAATGGAGGAAACGGAAGAGGCGGTCGTTGANACTAAAGAGGCACTGGAGGCGAGCGGAACTGAAGAACGAGTCAGGCGCATTAGAGCCGCCTCAACTAAAGTTCGCAACAGAATGGAGGAAACGGAAGAGGCGGTCGTTGAACAGGTGAGAAGTTTGCCTCAGCGAGAAGCCAATGAACTTGTGGAGACATTCGAGCAAGGCTGCCAGTGTGTGGAACAGCTGGCCACTGATGTCCTGGAGTACTGTCTGGAGCAAATTCGAAAGCTAATCCGCGCCATCTGGGATGGTGCTAAGGTTATTTTCAGGACAGCACGGAATATTCTTTACTCCATTTTCGGCTAAACTTTAACCCTCTATGTAATATTTTTTTGTAGAAATAAAAATTGTATAAAATAATTTAGTTAAATATAGTTAAAATACTAAAATCTAAAATAAAAACAAACCAAAAGCATTTTTTTATATATGACCGAAAACCTTGTACTTCTACTATTACTGTAAACAATTTGGCTGAGATTAGATAAACCAAAGTTGTTGCCAATAACAATACTGCAGTGGCAGTAAAGATACACACATTTACACGTTTCATACAGTTTTTACTTGTAGTGCAAATCAGTTTACCAGAAGCAACAACAAATGGAACCAAAAGATGGGCCGCATCAGCATCAAAACAAAGTGTGCCGAGTTTGCGGCGATTCAGGCGGATCAGGTGGTTTCAACTACAACGCTGGCAATCTATCCTGTAAACCGTGCAAAATCTTCTTCTGCCGAAACTACAATAAATTAAAGGTATTTAAATTTAATTTACTGTTTGCTGAAAACTAATAATTTTTCAGATTTTAAAATGCTCCACAAAAACAGACAACTGCCTCATTGACTACAGCAACAGGCGATTCTGCTCACGATGTCGCCTGTTGAAGTGCTTAAAAATTGGCATGAAAAAAGCCATCAACGAAGCATCAACTGAACTGCCTGAAAGTGAAACTCAAACCAGCATAATAGAGGACAACAGCAACTTTGATAAGCTATTCCTATCCAGAATTATTAGCCTGAGCAGCAACAACAGTAGCACACTGGACGCAGCAGTGCTCCAACAGCAAAAGCAGATGATCACCACTCGAATGAGGAGAAAACGGCGCACACCTCAACGCCTGAGCATCCACCAGCAGCAGGTGCTGGAGCAGCTGCAGAACGCCCTCGCGGCGGCCTTTGAAGATGAACGGCAACTTCCGGTGGTGAACAGGGTGGCCACTGCGGAGGAGGCCTTCAACCGGCACTGCCTCTACGCACGGCGAATCGTCAAGTTCATCAAAAGTATGCCGCCCTTCAGAGAGCTAAAAGAAGAGGCGGAACAGTTCACCATCCTAAAAACTTTCTTCATGAAAATTCTAGTGCTGAGGTGTGCCTTCAACTACAGCCCCCACCTGCAGGGCTACCCGATGATTGAGGATGAGAGTGGGGCGAGGGCGGTCTTTTTGCCGCTGTCCAAAAACCTAAGCAAAGAAGGACATCAGCTGAAGAGGCAAAACAGGGCGCTGTACTACGGGAGAAATCAGGTCTGGTTGATTCACCCGCAGCTGGAGAATGATGAGAAAATTCGAGATTTGGTAAGTGAGAAGGAAAAAGGTGGCCAAACAATTTTAAAATATTTTTCTTTTTCAGCTCATTGCTCAGGCGCTCTTTCAGCCGCTTTCTGTTGCTTCCTCATCAGCAGAATTTATTTGGTAATGAGTTTTCAGTGCAATTTAGCAAATAACAAAAACTTTTTTCTTTTGTCTAGCTACCAGTTCAATCGCTACAAAAGTATTCTCTACAACTACCTTCAGCTGAAGTACCACAACCGCCAGCGGGCGCAGTTAAAGTTCTGTTCACTGCAGAATATTCTAAAAGAATTTGCCAATCTAACCAAAAACTCAAAGTTGATTTTCACATCAAAGTTCAAAAACTTGGAGAACGCAAATGAGATTTTGAAAGATTTGTTTAATCTAATGTAGTGTAATCTTTTTTCTAGCAAAAAGAGCAAAATAAACCAAAGAACTCAAAGGGGTTTTGTTGTTGTTATATGTAAATTTATTTAATTTAACTTAAAATCATCAAAAGAATCGGTTGATCGGTGCGCTGTGTGGCAGACATATTGCACAAAAGAAAAGTGGTAGTAGCAGTAGGTAGGTAGTAGTTGGAGGTGGGGTAGTGTTAAATTAGGTGTTGGAAATAAATTAGATAAGGGGGAAAGAGAGATCGGGCAGGAGGTAAAGAAGTACCAGCAAGCCGGAGAGAATAAAAGTGCCCAGAATGGAAAGTCTGCCTAAAAAGGGGAGAGAAAGAGAATTTGGTCGAAGTGTGAGGGGCAGGAAAAGGGGGTGACTAAAAACAAAGAGGGAGGGGTGTGTCAAAAAGAAGTGCTCTTCACCAGGCCTGCCAGAGGCGGCCGCCGAGGTAGACCGCCAGCGCCGTTCCACCGAGGTAAATCAGCCCATCGAGGGCTCGGTAGGCGGCGGTCAGCAGCCGCTGCCGCCGCAGCCCCTCCCCAATCGTCGAGTCGTCCTCATTGAGCAGGTAGCGCCGGGAGCCCAGAGTCAGGGCGTCACAGTACGCCGGCCAGTCGATGACGCCCACATTGGACTGGAAGAGCGCCTGCTCCTCCCCGCTCAGGCGGCCAAAGATGCGCCCGTAGGCGGCGTAGCGAAAGCACCACTGGTGGTTGGTGAAGTGCTCCAGCACGTCAAAGGCGCGGTGCATCTTCCGCGTCACCTTCACCATCAGCCGCTGGTGGCCCGTCACCAGGAGGACCAGGTCAAAGAGAAGGGCAAAGAGGTGGTGGGAGAGGAGGCGCGTCAGGTGGTAGCCCGCCTTGCCCAGCGGCCCGCCGCGGGCGCTGACCGGGTTCACCCGGGCAATGGGGCGGACGAGGCGGGTGGAGGGCGCCTTGAGGGCGCCCAGCCGGCTGAAGTCGAGAATCTGGCCCCAGGTGACCGGGTTCTGGACGCCGCTGGTGATGTGCACCACCAGCTGACGAGTGGTTTCGGAAGGTGTTTGGGCGGTGGGTTGGAAGGTGGTGGTGGCGGTGTGCCAGGCGGTGACGATCAGCGAGTTGGCCACAAAGTCCACGGGGATGATGTCGGCCTTGAAGTGGCAGTCCACTGGAGGAAAAAAGAAGGTAAGATTTGGTAAATTGGTCTTTGTTTACACTTTGATTTGCTTCATACGTACTCTTCATGGTGCGGGCAATGCCGAGGCCGCCCAAAAGCAACGTGCCGGCGAGGCCGTTCATGCTGTCGCACCAGCCTGCAAAAAACGGGTAGAAAGATGATCAGATAAAGATCAGATAAAAAGGTAAACAAAAGGCTGTGTGCTCACCCTCAGTCGGCTCCCGGTAGGAGTGCGTCACAATGGACGGACGGCAGATGGTGACCGGGAGGTGGGCGGCGTACTTCTCCAGCACCAGATTCTCGGCGATCGCTTTGCTCAGCGTGTACGAGTTGGGCCGGCCGAGCAGCTCGGGGTCGCCCACCTTGGGCGCCGGTTTCTTCTTCTTCTTCTTCTCGTCCTTCTCTTCGGTTTCGGCCTCGGCCATGATCTCATCGACCAGCTCCTGGGCGGGTCGCTCCAGCGGGTAGACCCGCTCCTCGACTTCGATCAGGTTGCAGTTGGCGTAGGCGGTGGAGACGTAGACGATTGCCTGNTCTCGGCGATCGCTTTGCTCAGCGTGTACGAGTTGGGCCGGCCGAGCAGCTCGGGGTCGCCCACCTTGGGCGCCGGTTTCTTCTTCTTCTTCTTCTCGTCCTTCTCTTCGGTTTCGGCCTCGGCCATGATCTCATCGACCAGCTCCTGGGCGGGTCGCTCCAGCGGGTAGACCCGCTCCTCGACTTCGATCAGGTTGCAGTTGGCGTAGGCGGTGGAGACGTAGACGATTGCCTGGTGAAGAGGAGTGGTGATGGAAAAGGTTGAGATTTAGAAAAAGTGTAAACAAAGCAAAAAATATAAACAAGAACAAAAGCACCTACCTCGAGCCGCCTCATCTCCTCGCCCAGCTGCATGATCGCCTCCGTGCCGAGGACATTCTGGACGATGAACTCCCGCAGCGGCCCGTGGAACTTGACCGTGGCCGCCGAGTGGAAGACCACCTGGACGTCGGCCGCCAGNGGTCCTCCGGCGAGAGGCCCAGCCCCGGCTGGGTCATGTCGCCGGCGATGGCGACCACCTTCTCAAAAGGAAGTGGAACGGAACTGGAGCTGAAGGTGAAGGCCCGCGAGGTGAGGAGAGCCTTGAGGCGGTCCGCCGGCGCCTTGCCGTCCTTCTCGCCGACGCGCATCAGCAGGTAGATGGTGCCGATCGCCGGACAGGCGCGGAGCAGCTTCTCCAGGAGGACCTTGCCCACGAAGCCAGTGGCCCCGGTGATCAGCACCGACTTGCCGGCGAAGAAGTCCACCACTGAAGAGGAGGAGGAGGAGGGTGATGAGGAAGAGGGTGATGAGGAGGAAGGCTTGATCGGAGAGGAGTTGGTCTTTGCTGGTGAGGGAGACTTCGTCGGAGAGGGTGACGACGGCGAGGGTGACGAGGAGGAGGCGTCCATCATGGCCGAAGAGAGGTGGTGATGAAGTTGGGTGAGGAGAGAAAATCACGGGGAAAATGAGGGTGATGAGGACGGGCTGAGGGTCTGGTTCGACGGGCAGAGAGCAAATGTGTGTGTGTGAGCTTGAAGACTGGCGTCCTTTTATTGCCAACAGTGGTCTGCTGAAGGCAAAAGCTGCTGCTGCTGCTGCTGGGTCGTTTTCTGAGTCACGGTCGGTACAAAGACTGAAAAAACTCTTCAATGTCAAAGCTGTCAAGTTGAAGTGTTCAGTGGTGAAAGTCAGGGAAAGTTCAAACTTATGCCCCCCCCCCGTCAGGTAGCGCTAAACAT